GCAGATATACGTGGCGTCCCTTTCGACATCTTCATCGGGCCACGTCTTGACTGCATCGGGCGATGCGTCCATGTCTCGGAACGCCAGGCACAGCGTGCGGTACGCCTGCGACTTGTACTTGTCGATGATTTTGGCGTTGCGCTCGGCGGTGGAGAACACGGCCGTGGACGCGTCCAAGTGAAGCTGCGACGTGCACAGCTCCAACCCTTGGTGAAGATGCGGCATCTCGTCGCGGACAGTGCAAAGAGATACTGTCTTCGCGCCTTCGTAACTCGTGAATAAAGATGATCTGGAAAGCTCAAAACACGGCCAACCAAAGCTAAGATCTTGCTGTTTCGTGCTAGACAATGTGATATTCTCAACACAAAGTATTGGAAATATGCCGCCAATCAGAAGGGAAATATAGGCTCTTTTATGGATCAGAGTGGTAAAGGTTGCACTGGTGTCATAGTGAATGACAGCGGGCACCAAACAGTCCGACAAACGGTAATTTACTTTGACAACTTCTGCGGTTGGCCATGATAACACCAAAATCATTAGGATAATAGTAAACTATGCATCAGTATTGATGAGTTTGGTTGTATGACGACAACCAGATCAAGTTGTATCAGATCTTGTGCTTGGACGTCGATAATAGTTTCATCAGTTGACCATCACGATTTTAAAGTAAACGATGGTGATTTTGGACGCCCACGAAATAGATGCTCTCCACAAACCGTATGATACTATCTACCAATCGTTTCTGTGCTCTGAAGTAACATCATCAACAAAGTACAGGAAACGATGCAGCACTTTTCCCTGTGCTATTAGAGATAAAAATACGTCGACTTTGGGTTTTCCTGGAATTTTATTCCCTTGAACTATTTGAGCTGATGTAGACTGGTTGCCATTGGTCATGGTCTCGATCAAGTTGTTGCAAACACGTCAAAACTACCACCAGTGTCTTCACTACTCAGAGTCTTCATAAACGAGAGACGGATAACATCATAAGGCTTCCTGCGCAGAGTCTTCGTAAACGAGAGACTGATAACTTTGCAAGTCTTCTCCAAGACACATTAAAAGAAACCATTGGGCCGAAGGCATTTTGTCGGATGAGAAAAATTCAATCTATACGGACCAATTGAACTTCAGTACGATAGACACAATATGAGGAAGGAATCGCACGCGATCAAGTCACGAGCCAGCAAGGGCAGCAGCATGATGATTTCTAAGGTACGGGTGTTTTCGATTTGGTCGTTTCGAAGGGTATCCAAAACTCCGACATTTACATCGACACGCTCATCAACTGCAAATTTCCCAAATTTGTCTTTTAGCAAAATAGTGCCTCCATCTACCGCTCAAGACGGACCGTCAACTGTCTTAAATCTGAAAGCGTATAGCACTTTCCTCATCCTACACTTTTCACCGACCTCAATCGCATTGACAATGGTTGGGGCTTACTGGTGAAAATGGTCTGCCATTACGAAAAGTAATATTTGGCAAAGTCTAATATCTTCAGTACCATCCAGTAGGCTTAGTCGCAGATTTCTCTCGACAACGTCCAAAGCATAATCAACTGGAAGTCATGATGATGTGGTATAAGCAAAAGGAAGCAAGCGTGACTATTAGAAAGTGACTAACATACGCATTTCACTTGCATAATGTCATTTTTACTGTGGCTGCAATCATTTATGGCATTTTCAGTTTCATCATTTCTATCTCCTATTTCTCACTCCTTGCTTCAGTATTGCGCCTTCTGCTGTAAACCGTCTTGTATATGTCGTCAAACAAAAAGTAAGCTCAGGATTCTTATCAGCAATAGCCAGAATGAGCTCAGTCACTCGTTGCATTGCAAAAATGGGGTGGATACAACCGTGCGTCGCACACTGTATTGAAAGCAAATCTTTACAATAAATTCCCGGGCTTTTCCACTTTCTCGCGCTCTATCCGAACTTTTGTCGTGGCGATGAACTCCTTTACGACCTCTCTGTAAGGCATATCTATCCTTGAGTCTTGTACAATTCATTTCAAAATCTTATAGCCCGACCAAGGGGTCGAAGACTACAGTGCTGGACAGTGCAGATTGGTACGAACACTTCTATTTCTGACATAAAGTTTCAACGAAGCAGCGACCGGCAAAAGGGAAGCAGTCATCACACGGTAGCAATTGAGGTGACCTGATTGAAGCCGTCAGAGCTCAAAAACATTGAATGCTGCTCGGGATATCTGCATTTAAGTAAATTGTCCAAAAGAGCTGGGTTCGAGAAAGGTACTTTTTTCAAATTGACAACAAGAACTTGTACGAAGGTAAATTGAGCTCAGTTACATGCTTCGTACACGAATCGCTTGAGCTGCAAAACAGCAATGCAACCCGATTTCGTCGATGCCACAAGCTTCAGTAATAGGTAGAAGTTGGTGGCATTACATTGACTAAAAATTTCGCGGTTGAGTTCACCAACGTTTCAACTTGATGCCCGTTGGCATATACCTTCTGCACTCTATTCCCCCAAGCATTTTCGATCGGATTCAACTCCAGCGAGAGCGACCGCCCAACACAAATGTGAAATTTCGTGCTCGGCCAAAAATGCCTTGGTCTCGTTACTGCATGAATGCTGGCGTTGTCTTGTTAAAAAGCCGTCAGGATGGTTGGCATGGCCAAAGGGCAGGAGATAGTCAGCCACGGGATTGCAGTAAGCATATGAGTTTTGACGGCCATGCAGGAACAAAATGTCTGTCAAACCCTTGCTTGAAAAACCGGCCCAAATAATGACGCTTCCACCGCCGATATGATGGCTCAAAAGGGTATGTTCGTCCTTCCGTAGGTTGTGCCAGTAGTACTGAAGACCATTTGGCCCCTCTAGGTTGAATATTTAGTCGTCAGAGAAGATGATACGGTCCCACCTAAGGCCAAGGTCATCATGAGGTTTTTGAGGTAATTCTACTTTGTAGACAAAAATGGCTCTCTTCTTCTTTTCTGTAGACAAAAACATGATCGAATTCGATTTTACATTTGACGAACAGATTGCAATCTACGATGAGCGGGTCACCCAGCTTCATACCATGCTAGATATATTGTTTGAAAATCGAGAACCTATTATATTCATCCATCAGATGACGTAATACCGGAAAATTTGAATGGGAGTCGGCCATGTCGCAGACGATTTCACATATCCATCCTTTTTATTAAGTTGCCATT